GCTGATAAAAAAGCTGAGAATGTTGGCCTTAGTGCATGTGCTAGACATGAGCAGAAAGTGCTTAGAGGACAACTTACTAGAATTCTAAAACAAGGGGAATTAAAATGGTTATAGACATAATGGAAATACTAGATATTATCATGCTAAAGTAAATGGTAGAAGAAGAAAAAATAGGATCATATCTTTAGAGCAAGAGGAAGGTGTGATTGAGGGTGAAGTTCAGTTGATCGCATACATCACTAAATTTTATTAAAAAAATGGAAACCTGATTGTTCTAATATTGCTCTTCATAATCAAGATTTACCTCAAATTCCTAATGAGTGGTTGATAAATTAATAGAACCTTTTACTATAAAAGGAATTCATGGTGTAGTTTCCCGAATGGAAGAAAATAAAAGCACTCGCCCTGATGGGTTTCCTGCTGATTTCTATTAGGGGTTTTAGGATTTGGTTAAGTGGGATTTGAAGGACTACTTGATGAATTTTATCATGGCAAGTTGGATATTGCTAGGTTGAATTATGGGAGTATTACTCTTGTTCCCAAGACTAATGATGTTAAAAAATACAGAAGTTTAGACCTATTTGTCTTATGAATATTAGCTTTAAAACCATTACCAAGAGGTTTTGATGAATAGAGTACTATCCCTTCTTATTTCTCCTACCCAGACTGCTTTTGTCAAGGGAGATACATCATGGAAGGGGTGGTTGTTCTCCATGAAGCATTGAATTCTATTCATTTTAAGATAGATAATGCCGTATTGTTTAATAAAGTTGATTTTGGGAAAAGCTTTATCAATATGAAAAAATTAAGTATCCCTTTGTGATGCAAATCCTTAAAATGAAAGGATTTCCTGATAAATGGCGTGACTGGGTCATGCTCGCTGAGAGGGGGTAATGTGGGTGTAAGAGTTAATGATACAAATGGTCCTTACTTTAAAACTCACAAGGGCCTAAGATAGGGTGATGCTTTATCACCTTTGGTTTTTGATTTGGTTGCAAATGCTCTAGTTGTCATTATGGAAAAAGCAAATGTTAATGGTTTTGTGAAGGGGGGTTTAAATGAAAATCTAGCTAATTGATTTATATGCTTTAATATTCTCATTATGTCATATTTTTACTTCAAGATGATGTTGGAAGTGCTAAAAACTCAAATTCATATTGAGTGCTTTTGAGAAAATGTCTAGACTAACTATTTAATTTCCATAAGAGCAGGTTGTTTCTTTTAGGGAAACTAAAAATAAAGTTGAGTTGTATCAAGAGATTTTTACTTGTCAGTCGGGAGATTTGTATATGAAGTATCAGGGTATGCTTGTCTTTGATACTGGGATTAGGAATAAACATTGTAAGGGGGTAGAAAATAAAGTTGAGAAAAGATGTGGATGTTGGCACGGTAAACTACTAGGCTCTATTGCTGATAGGATTACTTCGGTCCAAGCTTGCTAACCAGCATGCCTCTTTTTATGATGTCTTTGTAACCCCCCCCCCTGTTGGGTGCTTAAGAAAGTTGATTCCGTTAGAGCTAGAATAGTGTGGGAGGGTGATGAAGATAAAAAGAAAATTCACTTAGTTAACTGGAAAACCTGTTGTAAACCTAGAGACCACGGGGGTTGGGGATCCTTAATTTGGATATCATGGATAAAGCATTGCTAGGTAAGTGGTTTCGGAAACTAGAAACTCAATTTGGGCTTTGGCAATTTGATTTCTTGACAAAATATGTCCCCAGTGGGTGTATTTCTATAGCTAAACCCAAAGTGGGGGATTCACAATTCTGGTCTAGCATTCGAAAAGTTAAAGAGATTTTTATCAATTTTGTTTGGGAGATGGTTAAGATTGGTGGTTTTTTAGATGAAAAACCTTTAAAATTTGCTTGCCCATATGTTTTAAGCTCTGATCATAACATTACTGTTGCTAAAGCCTTGTAGAAAGGCTGGGGGGTCAGGTTCAGGAGAACTATATATCAGAAGTCTCTAAAGCTCTGAAATAGTTTGAAACTTAGATGTGAAGAGGTAGAAAATCGGATCTAGTAAAGATAAGATAAATTGGTTGTTAACAACTCATGGATTTTTTTTGCCAAGTCTTTATAAGGAAAACTGGTTGAATCTAATTGCAATTTCCCTTAAAAGTTTGTATGGAAGGTCAAAGTACCGGCTAGGATAAAGTTTTTCTCTGGCTTATGGCTAGAAAAAGCATACTCACCAAAGATACTCTATTAAGGATAGGATGGGTTGGTAGTAAAATGTGTATCTTTTCTCGTAAAGAGGAGACACTTGATCATTAGTCTTCCAATTCTTTGGTATTGGTTTGATGTGGAGCTTGCAGAAATGTGCTTTTAGCCTAAGTTCTACTCCTACTACACTTAATGATTGCTTTGGGAACTGGATTAGAAGTTTACCAAAGATTTAGAAAAGGCTAGTGTTGGAGGTGTAGAAATGATGTCATTTTTGAGAAAAAACTTATCAATGATCATATCATCCCCATAAAGTTGATTTGATATTGGATTATTGGATGGTTTATTCTGTAGATAAAGGAGGAAAAAACAGAGGGGTGCTCATGGTAGGGGCAAAACTACTTGAGCTGGTAGCAAATGAAGTATATAGATCGTCACAGGGTTGGAGGCACGGTGTCCTGAAATTGGTGGCAAAGTGTTGAAGCTTAAAACACTAGCAATTACTGCTCCATTTATTCCCCCTATGAGGAGTTGTCGATTTCCCTCTTTTAGCAATCTTTCTTGTACTTTTTCTTTTGCCATTGATGTACTTATGCACCTAGTTATGCTAGCTTGTTTAGTTGGTTTCTCGGCTCCTTCATGATGCGGTTGTGGAAGAAGTTTGGTCGTGTTCATTTGTTGTTCTAGTTCTTGTGGTGCTAGAGACTGCTTATATGTAAGTAGCTCCTTCTTTTGGAGTTTGATGATTTGATCCTTTGTTGGATGCTTGGAGCACTGTGTTGATCCTTGTTAGAAGCTCGATAGATGTTATATTATGGTGGTAATCTGTATTAGGTGGAACTTGTGGTTTCTATTAATAAAAATCAAAGGGGCAGACCCTTTTTTATAATAATAAAAAGGTTTTGGGTTGGTGGGTTGCCATATTAACCAATTCCCTAGCAAAATATAGGTTATAGCCAGAAAAATAGGAACCCAGTTTTAGGTAAGCTGTTTGAGCAATTTTTTGGGCCAAAAAACCTAATTTTTTAGTTTGTAGGTATTTGGCTCATTTTTAGGATCGTTATTGGAGATGCTTTGAGGGCATCAATTTTTTAAGACCTTTTAGGGATTTGACAAAAAGATGTAATGTAAATCCAAAGGGTCTAAAACTGCAATAATAAGGATCAAATGATCGCCTATGGAAATTTGCTTCAAGCGCCAACTTGAAAGAAACTTACAAGCTTCTAAAAACACGAAGGTGTCCAGGTGCGGAGGCACGGGCGAGAGAGGTAGGCCGAGGTAGATTTGAGGGAAAGGTGTGATGGAGCTAGGGTGGTTGCGAACACGTCAGAGGTTTGGATCCTGAAAGGGGGCAAAAATTGATCACATGATTACTAATTTGGTCATCAGGCAAAAAGAAGACCTTGTCCAAGGAGGAGGTGAGCCCAGGACTCAACAAACGGTTCATACAAAATAAGGTAATCGAAAAGGGAAGGGAGTTGCTTGCATCATAAAATAAAATCCCTATTGCAGGAACAAACGAAGAGAAGGAGATCACAAAAAGAATCTTCTAGGATGATGATTGTGAGGGCAATAACTAATGCCATTGGATTCAATAACCAGGGTACGTTTTCTTTTCGCTTTCAAACCAAATCCAAGGCAAGATAAAATCTTGTATTTTCCTCGCCATCAACATAACAACACTTCGCCATGGTTCTTCAGATAAGTTTTTGGAGTGCAGATCACCATTCATAATAAAAGATAAAAGATCTTGGCGGAAATGGAGGCCAAAAGAGGGACAATCTCCGCCGGACACGCGCCTAGTGAGAGGAAAACAAGGGGAAGAGCGCATCCCAAACTCATCCACAGTACAGGAACACTAGGCAAGCAATCAGCAAGCAACAAAATACTAACGACATCGCCATCGAAACCAAGTGCAACATGCCAACATCAGAAGCACTATCAACTGCAACATTTCACCATCAGATGCATCTATCAACAGCTATATGCAAACTTGTAACCAGATTAGCTTGCAACGATCAGTGCAATCCCAACTACGAAGTACGAAACATGGTGGATAGTTATGCTATATAGGCAAAGTAGATTGTCAGATAATTCCAAAGCGACAATTGTTATGAACGTTATTCCTATATGCAGAAGTAGATTGACAGTTAACTCCAATTGCTACAATGCTAAGCATGAAGCACGACCTAATAGTGAGAGTGTTTATACAATAGACTATATCCATCTTATATAGAGTAGAACACTGGCCAGTACAAGCATTTTTATTATCTCTGACTAAACCAAAATTCAGACTAGCCACCATGCTATGTACTAATGAATCTGTAAATATGGTATGTAACTAAAAATGTGCTATGATGCATGTATACCTGGAAGTGAGCTATATATTATATATTTTACTGAACAGAACAGAGCAGTAAACATCAACGTCCAACCACTACAATCAAACTTTCTCCGACATACTGAAGCACAATTCAACACTAAGTGACAATGCAAGCTGCAGCCCACGATCAAGAACAGGTCAAGAGGACAGCGACCAAGTACACAACAACAGGACAAACATCTTCATCATAATGCGGAAGCAACAGAGATGGCGATAAAAAAAAATGAACATGTTCACTCACAGCAGCACAGTCAACTACAACCGAAGCTAAAAACATCCATCCATCCATTGTGCACACTCATCTCGATTAGGTTACAACACATACTGAGCAACTAAGCCGACGGAACAATTAGTACAGAGCACAAATCGAAGAAGCACGGTCACACCTAGGAGCTTACCACCGTCGCAACCACAGCGAGATCCACAGACCGAAAGGCATCACACGCAGGCCTCAAGCCGCCACCTTGCGTGGGCGCCCACGGCCACGCTTGGCAGGAGCGGAGCCGGACGCGGGAGCCGGAGAGGCAGCCTCCGTGGTGACCTTGGCCTTCTTGGCCGAGGAGGGACCCGGCGGGCGGCCGCGGCCGCGGGGCATGCCGGTGGTGGCCTTGGCGACGGCCTCCTTGACGGCGTCGGCCATGGAGTCCTTAGCCTTGGGCGGGCGGCCCCGACCGCGCTTGGGCGTGTTGGGGTCCTTGGGCGCCGCCTTGGGCTTGGGCGGCGCGTTGGGGTCCTTGGGCGGGCGGCCACGGCCGCGCTTTGCCGGGGTGGCGGAGGGAGCATCGGCCTTGAGGTAGTTGTTCTTGGCGAAGGCGAGCTTGCCGGCCTCCTTCATGCTGGCGAGGTTGGCCGTGAGGAGGGAGGCGTGCGCGGAGGGAAGGCCCTCGTACTTCTCCTCGATGTAGCTGGAGATGGCCGACTTGCTCGAGCCGTTCTTGTCGCCCAGCGCCTCGATCGCCGCGAGAATCATCTGCGAGGAGAAGGAGAGGCGCTCAGGCCGCGACCGGCAAGGAGAAGGATCTACCAAACAAGGAAATGATACGCCGCCGACGAATCTACGGCGGAAGGCACGGAAGCAGAGCGCCAAAACTGGGAGAAACTCACCTCGGGGTAGGGCGGGATGTCACCGGACTTGGGGGACCCGCCGTTCGCCATGGCAGCGGCGGCGGCTACAGGCCACGGCGGTGGAGCCGAGCGCTCGAGCTACAGTGCGGGCGCGGAGGAGGGGGCGGGCTGCGGGAAGGGGAAAATTTTCGGATTTGGACCGGGGGAGGAGGCGAGGACGGCGGGGGCAGTAGATAAGAAATGGGCGAGCTGTGCCGCGTATGCCAAAGGCAGCAGGCCTATGACCTAGGGTTTCCACGCGCAGTCACCGACGTGTGGGCCGCTTAGGTTAGTACCCTGGGCCCGGGACCACCTGGCGGTGGGGCACCCGGAGCGTGTCAGACGAATCATGCAGTTTCGGCCGATATAAATGCAGCTTTCCTATTTTGAACGCCTTTATCGATGTGCGGGGGACGGAGACCCGTGCGTGACGTGCACGGACGGCGGGGATGGCGAGGTGGGGGATCCGAGGGCGGAGAGGGGAGATGCAACGGGTGTGTGCACGCGGATCGGTGACGTGGCGGGGGGTCTGGGGTGGGGCGAAGGAACGCTCCTGAAACGCTTTCGCTAGACTTGTCGTCTCCTGCGCGGGGAGCGGGAGCGGGAGCGGCCTCGTGTTTTGTGTCCGGGGAAATGGCCGTCATGCCCCCCTACGGGCGCGCTGTCCATATAAACAATACTCCCTCCGTTCCTAAATATTTGTCTTTTTAGAAATTTCAACAAGTGACGACATACGACCACGTACCGAACAAAATGAATGAATCTACACTTTAAAATATGTCTACATAACGAACCAACCTGTGGTTGAATGGTTAGAGGGACTGTGGTATCTCCAGCCCACCAGGGTTCAAATCCTGGTGCTCGCATTTATTCCTGGATTTATTTCAGGATTTTCAGCGATGCGCATTCAGTGGGAGGAGACGTTCCCGTCGTCTTTCAGAGATGCTCATAAAGATATGGTGTGCGTGTGTGCGTTTAGGAACAGAGGGAGTACTAGATTATAGTATTTCTTTATTTTACTCAAAAGATAATGACGACACTGCTGCACGAAGCAACATGCTCCCTCCTTTTTGGTTATAGAGCTTATTTCAATTTTTTTGTTTGTCCAATTTAAAGGGCTCATCTTCATCTTATTTTTAGTTTTCGAGACGCATTAAATCTTTGCAATTAATTCAGGATTTAGTTTATAAATCATGGCAAATTTAGTTTATAAATCATGGTTGGTGAGATACATTCCTCCACTCACAAAATGCATTTCACCATGACAATTTAGTTTATAAATCATGGCAAATTTAGTTTATAAATCATGGCAATTTTAGGATTTTCACCATGACAATTCTAGTATTTTGACCACAGAAATTATGTTTTGTGTGAACCATGCCAAATTTTAGTACATGTATCATGCCAAATTTTAGTACATGTATTCATGGCAATTTTAGTTTCTGATTAATGGCAATCTAAGTCATTGACAATGCATTTTTAAAGTAATGATGATGGATTTCTTTTTAATTGTGAATCATTTAAAATTTATTTCATGGATCATGACAAATTTTAGTTATTTACCATGGCAAATTTAGTTTATTAATTATTTTTTATAACATGTCAAAATTACTTTAAACGTAGAAGGAAAAATACATGAAACATATCATGTCAACTTCAGTGTAAACACCATGACAATTTATGTACAATAGACATGGTAATTTTGACCGCCAAAAGATATCAACAAAACATATCGATATGAGATCCAGTTTTTTTCGAGGGTACGCAAATTGCGTATCTTAGCTTTATAGAAGAAGAGAAATAAGACATACAACAATGTCTACCACTCGTTGCGAACAACGAAGGCGATCAACTCCACACCCGGTCCGAACAAGGACAACGAAACACAACAACACAGCTACGACACAAAAAGCCTACCCAACACCAAGCCCCTCGCCGCGTCTCGGCCGACACTGAAGACCTCCGAAGAACAGCAACTCCAGCTTCCTTGGAATAGCCAGCGAGGACCGTACATGGCGCCGGAGGAGAAAGATCCGGGCAGCGGTGAACACCGGAGGAGCGCATCATGGGACCTCGAGTCTCCCAGCACAATGCTTCCAACAGAGTAACAACCTCAAAGACATTGCCATCATGCCGATCCTACGAATCAAGGCTTTCGCCCCGAAGACAGCTGCCGATACGAGGTCGCGAGGAAGATGGCGTTGCACTCGACGAAGCCTCCAGGAAGGTGAATGACACCCGCAGGTGCCATCAACGCCGGTGCGGCCACAACCGAACAGGATTTTCATCCGTAGCGCTGCACATCTCCACGTCTCAAGATCCCGGCCAGTCCCGAACAGATGCCTTGTACCGCCGTCACCGCAACAACTTGCCATCGAAGCCTCCCTCACTGCCGAGGGAACACGCCTAAAGCCATCACCTTCAACATCGACTAGGAGCCGTAGCAACCACCAAGCGGTGCAAAGCCAGTTCCGCCATGGCGGCCTTCACCCGCGCCAGGGGACTGCCACCAGAATGGATCCGACTCGCACCTCTTACCACACACCGGCACCCACACCGTCGAGGCATCACCGCACGCCTCACATGGCAGCAACCGAACGCCCGCTGCCCGCCAAGACCCTTCCTGGCAAGGCCTCGCCGCGCCGCCGCCGCCGCCGCCAGTGCCTGTGCACCACCTACACCCTCCAACCTGCTACGCTCCACGCAAGGATCCGGAGACAACCGCCGCACTCCCTGTCGTGAGCACCACGCTGGCCAGCGTCGAAGATGCACCAGATCTGGACCGAGATCCCCAGATCCGCGCTCCCGGCGCCGCCAGGTGATAACCCACAAGTGTAAGGGATCGCAACAGTTTTCGATAAGCAAGAGTGTCGAACCCAACGAGGAGCTAAAGGTAGAATAAATATTCCCTCAAGTTCTATCGACCACCGATACAACTCTACGCACGCTTGACGTTCGCTTTACCTAGAACAACTATGAAACTAGAAGTACTTTGTAGGTGTGATAGAATAGGTTTGCAAGATAATAAAGAGCACGTAAATATAAACTAGGGGTTGTTTAGATAAAGATGCAATAAAGTAAGTATTAGTAGAGAGCTTTTTGTTATGAGAAAGTTATTTGTCCAAGGCAATCGATAACTAGACCGGTAATCACTGTTGCAATTCTATTTGAGGGAGAGGCATAAGCTAACATACTTTCTCTACTTGGATCATATGCACTTATGATTGGAACTCTAACAAGTAGTCCGCAACTACGAAAAATTCATTAAGGTAAAACCCAACCATAGCATTAAAGCATCAAGTCCCCTTTATCCCATACGCAACAATCCCCTTACTCGGGTTTAAGCTTCTGTCACTCTAGCAACCCACTATAAGCGAATCATGAACGTATTGCAACACCCTACAACGGGAATCCCTCACGCTCGGAGAGCACCATAGGATAGCAACAATAATAAAACATGCAACTCAAACCAATCACGATCATCAATTAACCCATAGGACAAAACGGATCTACTCAAACATCATAAGATAGCCATACATCATTGGGAAATAATATATAGCGTTGAACACCATGTTTAAGTAGAGATTACAGCGGGTAAGAGAGAGGTTACACCGCTGCATAGAGGGAGGAAGAGTTGGTGATGAAGGCGGTGAAGTTGTTGGTGAAGATCGCGGTGATGATGATGGCCCCCGGCAGCGCTCCGGCGCCACCGGAAGCAAGGAGGAGAGGACCCCCCCTTCTTCTTCTTCTTCCTTGACCTCCTCCCTAGACGGGAGAAGGGTTTTCCCTCTGGTCCTTGGCCCCCATGGCTTGGTAGGGGTGAGAGCCCCTCCGAGATTGCATCTATCTCTCTGTTTCTGCGTTCTCTGTTTATGCCCCTTCACCGTTTCCTTTATATCTGGAGATCCGTAACTCTGATTGGGGTGAATCTTTTGCCCAGATTTTTCTCGTAAAATTAGCTTTCTTGCGGAAAAAGAAGGGCATCAACCGCCTTACGGGTGGTCCACCAGAGTCCAGGGCGCGCCCAGGGGGTGCCCCCCTGTCTCATGGCCCCCCCTCGACACTGTTTCGCATTGATTCTTCCTCCGGAAAATCCCAAATATTCCAAAATAATTCTTCGTCCGTTTTTATCCCGTTTGGATTCCGTTTGATATTGGTTTTCTGCGAAACATAAAACATGCAATAGACAAGAACTGGCACTGGGCACTGGATCAATATGTTAGTCCCAAAAATAGTATAAAAAGTTGCCAAAAGTATATGAAAGTTGAAGAATATTGGCATGGAACAATAAAAAATTATAGATACGACGGAGACGTATCAGCATCCCCAAGCTTAATTCTTGCTCGTCCTCGAGTAGGTAAATGATAAAAAAGATAATTTTTTATGTGGAATGCTACCTAGCATAATCTTGATCATGTGTCTAATCATGGCATGAATATTAAGATACGAGTGATTCAAAGCAATAGTTCATCATTTAACATAAAAACAATAATACTTCAAGCATACCAACCAAGCAATTATGTCTTATCGAAATAACATAGCCAAAGAAAGCTCATCCCTACAAAATCATACAGTCTGGCTATGCTCCATCTTCGTCACACAAAATGCTCCCATCATGCACAACCCCGATGAAGAGCCGAGCAATTGGTTCATACTTTTTAACGCGCTTCAGCTTTTTCAACTCTTACGCAATACATGAGCGCAAGCCATGGACATAGCACTATGGTGGTAAAAGATGGTGGTTGTGAGGACAAAAAGAGGGAGAAGATAGTCTCACATCAACTAGGCGTATCAACGGGCTATGGAGATGCCCATCAATAGATATCAATGTGAGTGAGTAGGGATTGCCATGCAACGGATGCACTAAAAGCTATAAGTGTATGAAAGCTCAAACTGGAAACTAAGTGGGTGTGCATCCAACTTGGTTGCTCATGAAGGCCTCGGGCGTTTGAGGAAGCCCATCATCGGAATATACAAGCCAAGTTCTATAATGAAAATTCCTGCTAGTATATGAAAGTGAAAGCATAGGAGACTCTCTCTATGAAGAACAT